ACTTCTATACAATTTTAGGTAATTAGAAATGACAGCTACAAACACTACCTGCATTCAACACCCATACACCCCCTTAACCCCATACACTCAGTCCTCATTCTCCTTACTTCTGAGCACTCTGCTTTCCCAAAGTACTTACTCATCTGAGCAATTATCTATCTTTTCCTTTTCTCTCCTCGCCCTCAGCATCAAAATATCTCCTTACTCCCACTTCCCTCAACAACACAAGCACATCTACATTAAGCCATCTCTGCTACACTTCCCTTCTCTCATCTCATGCCCTGCACTCATTTCTCTATTCTTTCTCTTCTGCTCCCACCTAATCTCATCCTAGACTCCACCCATATTAAACCCATTCACACCTCCTGTCACTATCTCTCTTCCTACTTCTAGCAGCTGGTGACGTCTCTCCAAACCCAGGGCCCTTCACCTTGTCTGCTCACACTAAAACAATTGGAACCACACAAACCTCATACAAATACCCTGCAGTCTATCCTCCTCTACCAACATCCACTATGCACTCTGGAACACCCGTTCCATCTGTAGCAATATTAAATCATCAGCCATACACGACCTCTTCATTTCTAATTCCCTCACACTACTAGCACTCACTGATACCTTTTTTTCCCCTCTGATATCGCTACTCCGGCTTCTTTATGTTTCGGTGGACTAAAATTCTCCTACACTCAACTGTAAAGGCGGCGGTCTAGGCATCCTTCTCTCCCCTCAATGTACCTTTCAACCTATCCTTCTTGCCCCTGCCCTATCCTTTACTTTCTTTTGAAGTTCACACTGACCTCCCGGTTATCCTAGGCTATTCATTGAACACTTTTCTTCCTGGCTACCCCACTTTCTCTGCTCTAGCACTCCCTCAATCAACAACCTCAACTGCCCTGATGCCTCCCGTCTGCTCTCTGTAACCTTCTCCTTTGGCCTCACACAGTGGTCTACTTCAGAGAATCATACAGCAGGAAACACTCTTGACCTCATCTTCACCAATCTCTGTACCACCTCTAATCTCTCCATTGTTCAATTTCCTTTATCTGACCACCATCTGCTGAACTTTGACATCGGCATATCCCATCCTAAACTCTCTAATCTCGCAGAAACCTCCACAGCCTTGATCTCCAGCATTTCTCCACCAAACTCCAAACTCTCCTTTTACCCATCTCAAATCTCCCTTGCTCTAACTCTGCAACCTCACTCTACAACTCCACTCTCGCCTCTCACCTAGACATCATGACACCTCCTACATTTAAATGCAGCAAGCATTCCCAATTACAACCTTGGCACACCAAGCTGACCCGACACCTCCAAAAATGTTATAGAAAGGCTGAACGCTGTTGGAGAAAGTCTCACTCTGCACCTGACTTCATCCACTATAAATGTATGCTGCGCTCCTACACTCTGGCTCTTTCCTCTGCAAAAGTAAATAACTTAAACACCCTCATAAGCATTTTGTATCTTTTTTGTCTACTATGGACATAGGAGATACGTGTGCTGTATATCCTTTTTCTACATTGTTTCTTTTAATTGCTACAATTTTATTACCATCAGGGTGGCCACATAGGTAAACGTTAGAATGATCTCCAGCCCTAATATTATTTCCAATATGAAGCAGACTTATACCATCTATTTAAATTCATGCTTTTCCCCCTTATTTGTTTTGTGTCTTGTCCTTATACACAATTTATTATCGATTTTCAGCCAATGCCTACTGTTTTTAATTTCTCCATTATGTAAATAATTTTTGCTTCTACCAAATGTATATTCTAATCTATACTAATCTTGTATATGTGATTATGCTTTTAATTCTTCACTTGTATGATAGGTGTTGGGTTTTGCTCCCCTTGCAGATTGTGCCCTGGTGGCTTCCCAGAGGTGCGGTGCATTGGCTACCGCTGTGCATGGAGACGTGGAATTTTCCTCATAGAGATGATTTTTCTCATAGAGATGCATTGATGCAATGTATCTCTAAAAGAGGTGCTGATTGGCTAAGCCAGCGTTTGACCCCCCACCCCCTTTCCACCTCCTTGCCCACTTTAGCCAATCCAATGCTTTCCCTACGGGGAAATAAGGTAGGTAAATGGTGGTTTTTACTCTAATAAGGTAGGTAAATGGTGGTTTTTACTCTATAGGGTCAGGAATACATGTTTGTGTTCCTGGCCCTATAGTGTTCCTTTAACAGCAAAATTTCAAATTATAGACATATTTTCCATGGACTGTTTAGTGGCTTTTACAGCTTTTTCTCACCTTTTAGAAAAACTTTCCGTTTGTTATAGATCATATTCAATCCACTGACTTGCTATAGACATTCTTTCTGCCCGGACAGGAAATTCACCTTTTCACTGACAGGAACATATCACTGAGACAACATGTCATTCACAGCTTACTCTGTCCATTTAATGGAGGAACAAAAGGTTTTATACAGAAAAGGTGTGTCAAGTCGAGTCACACAAACCAATCAAAACAATAATATATCAATCAATATCTAAATACATTAATTATGCCTAGTGGAAGAGAGCTGTCTTAGTGTTTGAACTAACAGAAAGTGAATATGTGATTTAGAAAGGCAGATCAGGCTCACGCTTTGATTATGTCAATGTTAAAAACAGTATGCTTCATTACCAAGAAAAGTTGGAACATTCTAAGAAACAGAGGACTGTGAAAGCACAAGATAGCAAAGTTGTACATTAACCATTTTAGTGATGGAATATGTAGTCAGTCTCACATTAACTCTTTCACGGATGGAGTGTTAGTCTGTCTCATATTAAAGGACCACTATAGTGCCAGGAAAACAAACTTGTTTTCCTGGCACTATAGTATTAATAGGTCCCCCCCACCCTCATGGCCTCCCTCCTGCTGGGCTCTGGGGAGAGGAAGGGGCTAAATGCTTACCTTTCTCCAGCGCCGGGCTCCCTCGGTGCTGGGGACTCTCCTCCCTCTTCCGCTGAATGCGCATGTGCGGCAAGAGCTGCGCGCATACAGTCAGTCCATAGGAAAGCATTATCAGTGAGAAGCACGGAAGCACAGAAGCGCCTCTACTAGAGGCTGGATTGACCCAAATGTAAACATAGCAGTTTCTCTAAAACTGATGTTTTGAATAAAACAGTTAATAATTCCTGTATAATGAACTACTCACTTTATTAATACATATATAACAGGATCTTCATATTGCTGCCTTGTTACACAGGGTTTCTGCAGCCGCCATTTCAAATCCACCAACTGCCAACATGAATAGGAAGTAAAGAACCAAAAGAAAGGAAGTGCATCATTCACAGCCAACAACAGCCCAACTGCCCATACATCACAATACATACACTCACACACAGCCCAACAGTACATACATCACAGCTATGCTTACAGCAGGCAGGGTTAAACCTAGATGGACCTGGCACTCAGACCACTTCATTAAGCTGAAGTGGTCTGGGTGCCTATAGTGGTCCTTTAATCCTTACATCACCTTAGACTAAACCTTTCCCATAAAACCATCAAAATATACCTTACTGGGGTTCAACATCACATACTTACTTTATTCCTAAATAAACAAGTTTCTCTTTCTTTATTTCAAATACAAACATACTAAAGATATTCAGAGATCCAATTAAGCACAAACACCCAAAATACTAACTATCAACGGTAACATATTTGTTCCCTAACAGACCTACAAGACTCCTCTCCTTTCAAAACACAAACTAATCTGGTAAAAAAAAGATAGCAATCTACATTGCAATTTATGTATTTTCAGGCCCAGAGAATTTGCTAACAATAACTCAACTAAAACAGATTAATGTTTAAAAGTCAGTCATATAACAAACATTTAGACCACTATACACTCCCTGCCCCATACAAAAACATCCAGATTGGTCACCTTGTTGATACACAATTTTACCCTACTTATAAATGGTGCCCTGTTAGACTGCTATTTATCCACAATCCACTCATCTCCATTCCAGTAGTTATGTAAGAAGACTAGGCCTGAATCAAGTACTTGACAGTACACATGACACTCTGCCTATACCTGACGTTCAATTACAAGAGCTTTGTCCATTTCTGACAAAGTACACTTTGGTTCACCATTTTGTCAATCCGTGCTCCATCAATACCTTGGTGGTGTTCATATCCTTTTGCCACCTCATCCTTAAATTAGCTTACAAACACCACAAAATCTCATACCTACCTACAAAAATAAACATATCTCAATCAGAAATGGTGCCTGGTCTACCTAATATGCCAGTTATCCGACACCCACAGGGCTACACGGACATATGCCTCTCTCAAGATCACACGAGTATGCACTCACTTCAAATTGCATTACGTTAATTAGGACTATTCCGTAACGCACATACAACCCTTTTTTTCAGGTTATTCTAGTAGTATAGACGTAACTTCCCAGTCTCTAGTAATACCAAGCACACCTCATCGAATAATAGGACATAAAATCCTCTTCATACACAAGATACCTCTCAACCAGAGAAGGATTTGAGGCAGGCATTTAAAGCTTTGGTTATGTAATGTCAGTACGTGTCAACGTGTTTATCTATTAAACTTTTTGCCTTCTTTATTTATAGGCCTACCCGAGCGTCGGTTTCGGCACACCACAACCGGCTTATACCACATCCGACTTATGCATCTTCAATACAAATACTCTGCATATTATCCCTGGCCAAATAGAAAGGCGGCATAGCCTGTAATTGTCGGAGTGGTTATCTGGCTGTACAAACATTTTCCACCCCTCTCAACAGGCTGTTAACGCCTGATTCAGTCCACCCACCGCTCCCCTTTTTTCTTAAGCTATTCATTTTGGCAGGCCCTCTTTATTCACAGCCCTACCCAAACGTCGGTTTCGGCACACCACAATATACCACATCTGACTTATGCATCTTCAATACCATTATTCGTTTTTTTTGTCTGCCACCACAAATATATAAATAAATCGCCATGAAGAAAGGCACATGCTGGGCTTTTTGAAGAAAATTATTTGTCTTTATTAATAACACACGGGTTACAGCAAATCTACGTTTCAGTCCATCACAGGACTTTCATCAGGATAAGCACATAGCTCCAATTTCAAACTTTAAATAGCAAAAATAAAGTGCGAGAAACTTGTAAAGGTGAAGTACCCTCTCCCTAGACAAAGGTAATACCTGTGATGAAAGATCCGGACTAAACAGTGCAAACTGTAGATTGCTACCACCCACATACAGGCAAGGAATACAAAATCCTACACAGGATAACATGCACCACTGCATTTGTTATATAAAAAAAATCTTATACCCGTGGGGTCTGGCATATATTGGCAAGACAAGGAATACACTTGTATTGTATTGAGGGAATGATTTGCCAATCATAGAGCATCCATAAGACAAGCCTTACATAACCCTAATGAGGCACCTCCAGTCGCTAGACACTGCAACAGCGGGACACCAACTGTCCACCTTGAAATTCACGGGGATTGATCATGTGCCTAAATTGAATAGAGGGGGTGATAAAGTCAAAGAACTTTTGAGATGTGAAGCATATTGGATTTCTACACTAAAAACTGCTACTTAAATACCGTTTCTTACCATTGAAATTAATTGCTACATGTATCTAGCTGAATGAAAAGAGTTGATACTTTGTTTCAGCTTATTAGTCTGTGAGACCATTCCTGCCCATGATTTCTATATTTTGGAATTACTGAATACTTATGTTCACTGCATACTATCTCATTTCTTTGTTGTTTTCAAGTACTAACTGTACACTATGATTGAGCACCCATTCCCTAAGTGTTACTTTGTTATATCTGTAATAGTTTTTTTTTTTTGGTATTTCCAGCTTTCTTGATTTCTTTATAGGCCTATGATATATTATGAATCTTTTATATATGAAAATACATTTAAGATATCACACCATCGAGTGTTTAACTTAGAGTTTGACAAGCTCGTATTTTGAAATTTGAGTTCTAAGTCACACAGTGGTTGTGGTGTATAACCTTTTAGGTGAGCAGCCCCTTTTCTTTTTTCAATCTCTTTGTGATTTATAAGTTCTTTAGTAAGTCTTTATCATGGGCTGGATATGCTGAATTTTTGGTTGCTAAGTGAGAAAACAGGGTACTTTCCCAAAATACTTACATCTATTTGAGAAATAATCTAAAGATGATACGGTTATATGTGTACTCACTAGCATTTTCTATACATCTCATTATGAATGTGTCTCTGTTTTCCATTTGTATTTTTATCTGGGATATATGGATCACAGTGCTCTTATTATTGTCTGCAATTATTACTAATATATTTTGTTGTCTTGCATGATTATATAGCATTCATGTGTCGCTTTTAGTTACATCAAGGGCCGGACTGGGAAAAATTTTTGTCCCGGGCATTTTTTAATCACAGCGGCCCACTGAGAAGGGTGCAGGGCAGAGGGTGTGTGTTTTGTCATCACCGATGGCAAGCACGCCCCCTCTCAAAGTGAGCATGTTAGTTCAATGCTCTTCCAGGTCAGAACATGCGCAGAGCTCTACTGAAAAGCTCTAGCATGATAAAAAGGCCCTGTATTATTTCTGCGCAGCGCAACCATTTTTATTAATATGCTTGCACTGTGTTTGCTTGTACCTTGTCTCTGGTGTCTCCATAATGAGACAAATCGGCCAGGAAAGAGTATATTGTGCATGTGTTTGGAGTCTGCTTGTGGGATTGCGTGTGTGTAGAGTGAGCTGATTGTGGTGAGATAGGTTGGTTTCAGTCATAGGCGTGCGCAGCCTATTGCATTAGGGTGTGCACCCTAAAGCACAAGCACATGCCGCGTATATATATGTATGTGTATATATATATATATATATATATATACACACACACTGCTGTGTGTGTGTGTGCGCGCTTGTGAGGGTGCTGTTAATATACTGTGTGTGAGGGTGCTGTTTGTGTGTGTGCGCTTGTGAGGGTGCTGTTAATGTACTGTGTGTGAGGGTGCTGTTTGTGTGTGAGGGTACTGGTAGTGTGCTGTGTGTGTGTTTGTTAGGGTCCTGTGTGTGTTTGTGAGGGTGCTGTTAGTGTGCTGTGTGTGTTTGTGAGGGTGCTGTGTGTGTGGGTATTGTATGTGTGTGTGGGTGCTGTATGTGTGTGTAGAAGCTGTATGTGTGTAGGTGCCGTGTATGTCTGTGGGTGCTGTATGTGTGTGGGTTCTGTATGTCTGTGGGTGCTGTATGTGTGTAGGTGCTGTGTATGTCTGTGGGTACATTACTTAATATCCCCCCTCCCTTCTCACCTTATGTAGGGAGGGCGGATCCTTTATGCCATCCCTGGTGGTCCAGTGGTGAGTGAACTCTAGCCTGCGGAGCTAGAGTTCACTCTCGCGAGATCTGAGAGTTGCAGATCTCGCAAGAGGAACACGGCGGAGCTGCTGGCAATAGCTCCCCGGGTCCTCTCCTGCCTCCCTCCCTGCATGTGAGTCGGTGGGGGGAGGCTGAGAGCAGAGCCTGAGATCCTGAGATCGCCCCTGCCAGTCTCACTGCATAGGCGTGCCGCTGGGATTAGGGTGTGCCCAGGCACACCCGGCACACGCCTATGGTTTCAGTTGTGTTGTGTTTGTGGAGTAATGTGTGGCCTACAGAGAGTGAGAGAGTGTGTATAGGGAGCATAGTGTGTATAGAGGTTATGTGTCTGTTTATGGAATGTAGTATGTGTTTGCTTAAAAGAAATCTAGTGTATGCATAGGTGATCAAGAGTTTGTATGTCAGGAACGTAGTGTGTGTGAAGGGGATCTAGTGTGTGTTTGAAAGACCCAGAGCGTGATTAGGAGATCTAGTGTGTGCTTGTGTGCATAGAGGATTCAAAGTGTTTATAGGGATTTAGTGTGAGTAGATGAAACAGTGTTGTGTAAGGGATCTAGTGTATGTCTGGAATGTAATGTGTGTATGAGGCGTGCTGTGTGTGTGAGGGTGCTGTGTGTGTGAGGGTGCTGTGTGTGTGTGACGGGTGCAGTGTGTGGTTTGTGTGTGAGGGGGTGCTGTGTGTGAGGTCTCTGTGTGTGTGTTTGAGGGATGCTGCATGTGTGAGGGGTGCAGTGTGCGATTTGTGTGAGGTTTCTGTGTGTGTATGTGAGGGATGCTGCGTGTGAGAGTGCTGCTATTATATGAGGAGCAAGGAGTGCTGTGTGTGTGCGCGTGTGGAGGGTGTATGTGACAGGTGCTGTGTGTGTTTGAGGGTGCAGTGTATGTATGTGAGGGGTGCGGTGTGTGAGGGGTGTTGTATGTGTTTGAGGGTGCAGTGTATGTATGTGAGGAGTGCAGTGTGTGAGGGTGATGTGTGTGTATTTGAGGAGTGCAGTGTGTGATTAGGATATCTAGTGTGTGTTTCTGTGCATAGAGGATTCGAAGTGTATATAGGGATTTAGTGTGTGTAGATCAAGCATGTCAAACTCAAAGTGTGGCATGGGCCACATAAACAAGGTTTAAGTTTATGTGGGCCACGCACACACATATACACACACACACACACACTCACTGGCAGACAGACACACACACATACTCACTAACAGACTGACAGACACACACTCACTGGCAGACACACACACATACTCACAGACACATACAGACACACACACATACTCAGACAGACACACACATACTCACAGACACACTGACAGACACACGTGTTGACAGACACACACACACGCACACACTCACTGACAGACAAACACACTGACACACACACACTCACACATACAAACACACACACATATACTTGCTGACAGACACATACTCACTGACAGACACACACATAAATACTTGAAAAACAGGAAACAACAATTACAGGGTGCGCCAAGAACAAAGTAAATAAATAAAATGGATAATAGGGGGGAAAAAAAATACCAGGGAGCTTTTATACCATCCAAAGAATCCATGGTGGGGATCGTACCACCCAGGCGCTTTACACAGAGCGGTTTGTCTGCTCTGTAAATTGTAAGTACATCTCTTATTTTATCCAGCACTTTTTTAATATAGAGAGCACTATGGGCCTTCTCTTGTATTCTATTTCATATAACCTGCACTGAAAATCTCGTGAGAGGAATATCCTACTTGTGGGGAGTTTAAATACCACTGTATGCCGTTTTACTCGAGCTGGTTATAGCTCCCACAAATGTGAGTTAGCATTTCTTAATCTCAGTATTGTCTGTAGCCATACTCCTTTACATTACTGCACCATTGGTCCTCTCTGTATGTTTTTTTTCTCTTTCATATATGCTGATGAGAACTTGACCCAAGACGTCCTGTGAATTAGAGACTTTAATTGGCCTGTTTCCCTGGTATTTTTTTATTTTATTTCTTATTATCCATTTTATTTATTTATTTACTTTGTTCTTGGCGCACCCTGTAATTGTTGTTTCCTGTTTTTCCAGGGATTTGAAGAGTTTTGAGGGTTACCCTTCATTTCAGGTGTGCAGCCTCCCCCTCCCAATTGTGATCAGTTTGGATAGCGCTGTTCCATCCCTCTTATTTTTTTTTCTTGATTATACACACACATACTTGCTGACAGACACACAGACAGGGCCGCCATCAGAAATTGTGGGGCCCCTGACAAAGCACAAGGTCTGGGCCCCCCTCCCCTGCCCTCCCCTCGGGCCTGCCCACGCCCTACCTAGTCCACTGACAATGATGCAGGACTGAATAGTGGAAGTGAATTAGAATGTAGTGTTTTATTAGATACTGTTTGTGCAGTGAATGCAGAGTGTGTGTTTGTGTAGCAGATGCAGTGTGTATAGTGAACGCAGAGTGTGTTTGAGTAGTAGATGTAGTGTGTGTTTGTGTAGTGGATGTGGTCTTTGTGTGTACTAGATGAATTGTGTTTAGTGGAGGCAGTGTCTGTAGTGGATGTAGTGTGTGTATTAGATGCAGTGTCTGTGTATAGTGAATGCAGAGTGTTTCAATTTGTGGTGGATGTAGTGTGTGTACAGTACAGTGTGTACTGTGAATACAGGATGTTTGTGTAGTGGATGCTGTGTGTACAGTTAATGCAGAGTGTGTGTTCATGTGTAGTGAATGCAGAGTGTGTGTCAGTGTAGTGAATGCAGAGTGTGTGTCAGTGTGGTGAATGCAGAGTGTGTGTTGGTGTATAGTGAATGCAGAGTGTGTGTTAGTGTAGTGAATGCAGAGTTTGTGTTGTACTAGCGTATGCAGAGTGTGTGTCAGGGTAGTGTATGCAGAGTGTGTGTTGTATTGGTGTATGCAGTGTGTGTATTGTATTAGTGTATGCAGTGTGTGTATTGTATTAGTGTATGCAGTGTGTGTATTGTATTGGTGTATGCAGTTTGTGTATTGTATTGGTGTATGCAGTTTGTGTATTGTATTGGTGTATGCAGTGTGTGTGTTGTATTAGTGTTGCAGTGTGTGTGTTGTATTAGTGTATGCAGTGTGTGTGTGTTGTGTTAGTGTATGCAGTGTGTGTTGTGTTAGTGTATACAGTGTGTGTTGTAATAGTGTAGGCAGTGTATGTGTGTGTTGTATTGGTGTATGCAGTGTGTGTATTGTATTGGTGTATGCAGTGTGTGTTGTATTAGTGTATGCAGAGTGTGTGTTGTATTAGTGTATGCAGAGTGTGTGTTGTGTTAGTGTATGCAGTGTGTGTTGTATTAGTGTATGCAGTGTGTGTTGTGTTAGTGTATGCAGTGTGTGTTGTACTAGTATAGGCAGTGTGTGTGTTGTATTGGTGTATGCAGTGTGTGTATTGTATTGGTGTATGCATTATGTGTTGTATTAGTGTATGCAGAGTGTGTGTTGTGTTAGTGTATGCAGAGTGTGTGTTGTGTTAGTGTATGCAGTGTGTGTATTGTATTGGTGTATGCAGTGTGTGTGTTGTATTAGTGTATGCAGAGTGTGTGTTGTATTAGTGTATGCAGTGTGTGTGTTATATTAGTGTATGCAGAGTTTGTGTTGTGTTAGTGTATGCAGTGTGTGTGTTGTGTTAGTGTGTATGTGTGGTTTATGCAGTGTGTGTGTAAATGTGCAATCTCACAGGGCATTTTCACATTAATTGTTTAATTTTATATTAAATTAATTAAATGTTTCTCCCCCCTCCCTGCTTCTTACCTGTGTCCAGGGAGGGGGGAGATACCATCCCCGGTGGTGCAGTGGCATGGTGGAGCCCCCGGCTCCCTGTTACCGCAGAGGGGGCCCAGCACCCCGCCTCTACTCTTCTCTTCTAATAACTCTCGTGAGACCCGCGTGCCGCGCGGAGCATTGCCATGGCATGCTCAGAAGGCTGATATTCGCTATCTATGTGTGCAGAAAGGGAAAGTGGGGCCCAGGACTGCCAGAGCAGTCTGGGCCCCCCAGGACCCTTGATGGCGGCCCTGCACACAGACACACACACACACTCACTGACATACACACATACTTGCTGACAGACACACACATACTTGCTGATAGACACACACATACTTGCTGACAGACACACACATACTTGCAGACAGACACACACACACACACACACACATACTCACTGACAGACAGACACACACATACGTTTCCTTATTGTTCCTTACCTTATGGAGCCGATAGGGGGCATCTCCCTTGGGTCCTTCCTGCTCCCGCGCGTGGTTTAGTGATGCCGGAATATGACGTCATATTCCGGCGCCCAGCTTTACTTCAGTCGGCACACAGTCGGCACACATGTGAGGAGCAGGAACACTGAGCTCCTTCGCGGCCATCCTCCCCAGCCGGGTAAGTGTTAGAGTAGGCACCTGCAATATGGGGAAAGCAGGTGCCTACTCTGCTATAACACTGAGCATGCACTCGCGGCTCACCGGGCCACAAAGACGGTCCATGTGGGCCGCAAGTTTGACATGCTTGGTGTAGATGATGCAGGGTTGTGCAAGGGATCTAGTGTGTGTCTAGAATGTAATGTGTGTATGAGGGGTGCTATGTGTGTGAGGGTGCAGTGTGCAGTTTGTGTGTGAGGGGGCGCTGTGTGTGAGGGCTGCTGTGTGTGAGGGCTGCCGGTAGCCAGCGTGGAACGCACGCGCCCAAACCGGAAGCGGCGCGGCGTTCGTATGTGAGGACTGTGAGGGCTTCCGGTTTGGGCGCGTGCGTTCCACGCTGGCTACCGCCATCCATGTAGACGCCGGACTACTTCCGGTTTCCACCAACGAGCGTCCCTTTGATTTGGCCACACCAGGGAGCTATTATCAATTATGGTCAGTATGTTATATTTAAAGGAAGTTTTTTGATGCATGCTTTTTACACTTCTGATGAAGCCATTGGCGAAACGCGTTAAGTGTTATTTTATATAGCTTTTTATTTTATTGTATTTGTATTACTATTAAATATACTTTTAAAGCTATATTTTATCCTCATTCTATTTACATCATCATACTTCCTGGCCTGTATATCCTACAGTGGGGATTATACCACTGCATACCTTATATACTAGAGCAAGTTATCTGCTCTAATAAATGTGAGTACAATATACTTATATTTACCTATTTATACTATTATTGGAAATTACTACACCATTGGAGTTCTCTGTATTTCTTTTATCTATACCATCACACCATTGGAGTACCCAAGACGCTGGACTTCTCATCCTAAGACGGGGATTGTACCGTCCACGCCTATCACGGTAGAGCTCCCACAGTAGCTCTACCAAATGTGAGTGTAAAATACCTTCGTTTTATTTATTACTCCTTCTCAATATTGTTAAAAATACTACACTATTGTATATATTTCTTTTTGTTTTCTTTTTGAGGACAAATTACCTGCAACTACTAAGAGACATCAAGTGTATGTATATTTAATTTATATAAGGCGCGGTTTCTCTCCTCCCTTTTTATATTGTTTCTTATCAAGGCTGGGAATCCTTGTTTTTTGTTACTGCTGCCTATCTATTGTTTATTTTTGGAGTGAGCACCCGACATACCTTTTCTCCTTCTCTTAACAGAATGTAATAGTTTAAAAAAAAAAAAAAAAACAAAAAAAAACTTTACCTAGGCAAAAGTAATGGGGTTTTAGTATATGATCATACTTTGCATAAGCCTGCAACAATGCCGTTGGGTACTTTTTTTTAGAGGGGCAAAGGTTTAAAAAGAATATCAGGAAGTATTACCAGAGAGGGTAGCGGATGCTCATATTTTGAAATTTGAGTTCTAAGTCACACAGTGGTTGTGGTGTATAACCTTTTTTTTTTTCTTTTCTTTTTTCAATCTCTTTGTGATTTATACGTTTTTTAGTGAGTCTTTATCATGGGCTGGATATATTGAATTTTTGGTTGCTAAGTGGTATTTTTGGTCTGCTAAAGTGGTAGAGGTTAACATGATGAGGGAGCTTAAGCATGCATTGGATAGGCATAGGGCTATCCAAGATATTAGATAAGGCCCGTAACTAATCAAAATACATCTTGTATGTAATACTTAAGGACATTAACACCTTATATTATAAACCATCTGTGCCTGCTGCCTCTGTCTTTCAATCACATTCTCCTTCGATCTCTCATAATTCATCCTATTCCCTTCTGATTATAACGAACAATCTATTGACCTAGTATTTTCCTACATCTGTTCTAGATCGAACGTCACCAGTTGTCCTTTTCTAATTTTAGACCATCACTGGCAATCCTTTAATCTCAATCTATCGGCTAAACGCATTCCTCCTCTATCTCGCCTTTGCACCTATGGAAATGTGCATGCTATATCTCCTTCCTCACACTCTTCACTAGGACCTGCTCTGATTTTGCCACAGCACATTGAAACAACATTCTCTTACACTGCACCCTCTAGACATGCTTATTCCACCCCTCCCCCCCCGTCAGTTGCAAGCCTGGCACTCTAAGCAAACACAATACTTGCAAAAATGCTCACCCACTGATGAGCATGGCTGGAGGAAACATGCATTCCTAACCGTATAGTGTTAAATATACTATCAAGCCCCCTGACTCTCCTAAATATAATAAGATCTTGTCTTTATTACAGTCTGCTGGTGCTGGCTCTGCTCCTGATCTGCCTCCTTGGCTGAGATAATCAGTAAAAGTGATAGGAAAGCATTGGATTGGCTGAGACTGTCAATTCTGATGAACTCAGTCAAGGGGGCAGGCTCAGGGGGGAGCCCAACATCACCATGGCCAATCAGCATCTCCTCATAGAGATGTGTTGAATCAATGCATCTCTACGAGGAAAGTTTAGTGTCTCCATGCAGAGGGTGGAGACAATGAATGTCAGTGTTGCATGCTGTGCAGCACTGCTCCAGGAAGCATCTCTAGTAACCATCTGAGGAATAGCCTTTAGAAGTGTCCCTAGGCTGTAATGTAAACACTACCTTTTCTCTGAAAAGACAGTGTTTACAGCAAAAAGTCTGTAGGGATTAAACTGTAGTTGTTCTGGTGAATATAGTGTCCCTTTAAGCAAAAATACTTCTCATTTATATACTCTTTCTTTCAAACCTAAATGATTGTTATCTACTACTAATTCTCTCCTCTGCCAATGTGCACCAACCCCATCATCAAAATGTAACACTCAAGACCATGAGGACTATTTCTTAAAAAACAAACACATACCACCAGAAGCAACAATCCAGACACAAGCATGCAACTCCTGGAAAAACTAGTTTACAACTGTCTAACCCACTTCCCTTCCTCCTACTTTGTGCTGGATCCTATCCAATCTGGCTTCCATGCCTAACACACAACTAAAACTGTCCTCACCAAGGTTGCTAATGACATTTCTGCTAAAAGTAATGGCCACTATTTTATATCTTAGTTGACCTTTTAGCATACTTCAACACAGCTGACCATCTACCTCCTACCAGAGAATTTCTTGGTCTCTGCGACATGTTCTCTCTTGGATTCACTCTTATCTTTTTAATAGTTTTTTTTGTGTTATTTGTTGTTGGCGATACCTCCCCTTCAATGCCTCTCTCAATTTGAGTACCTCGATTCATACAGTCCCCTTATTTTAGTGGCTCAATTGTAAATGGACAAATTAACTCTGTGACAGTAGTTACCATCACTGGGGGCTAAAGACGGACACTTTATGTAGGTCCCCAAGTTATTCTTATGTCTTAGTCACCCTGTGCCCATTATAGGTGAAGGGTTTGTATAATGTATTGTTCATTATTAAATGTTTGTGTGCTCTCCTGTCCTCCTGATGCCTGCAATCAGCTAGGTGAATTTGGCCTAGGTGGGGCCTCTACAGCACCATCTGTTGGTTGCAAGGATATTGAAACAGCTATATGCACAACCTGAATAGCAAGGCTTGCTAATTCACATATTTCGGTAGACCGCTTTATAAATATGCTATTATGATTCCTGTTTGTTATCCCATATGATTTGGTTAGTTTTATTTTGTTGAAGTTGTCACCATAATTTAAATACAATGTACATATGGGTAGTCCTGAGAAAAAAAATAAAGCTGAGTATGTTTGTTCCTTTTAGAACTGTTGATTAATTTGAGGATGTTACGGTGTAATATCCCAACACACAGAGTTTAGGATAGCAAGGGGCAAGACTAGGATATAACGTATTACCTTTTTTCATGGGGGAGAGATGCAATGACTTTGCAGTACCCTATGTTGACTAACTGCAAATGTGTCCGTTTAGATAATGTTGGTATTTAAATTTGTACAACCAAATGATAAATGTCACAGATTTTTGCTTTTCTTATTTTTTTTTCTAATGTTTTTTTGTCACAAGTTCAAGGACAAATCACCAAAGGCTAGTCAGTGTTCAAAATAAAGTATTGCATGGTAGTTCCATTAAGAACGATGTGTCATGACTGGTTCTTTCAGAGATTCCTGTAGTAGAGTTTTTAGACCTGACTTCTGGGTGCAATGTTCCCTGGTACTGGAGGTCTTTAAGAAAGATTTGGCTTGATGATCAAATTCGTTTTTATAAAGACAATGACAAAACCTAGGCGTGTGAGCAGTAAGTGCTTTTTTTCAAGGCAGTAGTTGGATGCAGCAGAGGCAGGAGGGTCGATACTTGCCTGGAATAAGACACAATTTAGCACACATGTCCTTGGCTAGGTCCTTTACCAGTGTTTTTTTAAGTGCCTCAATACCAAAATGTATTTTAGTTGAAGTGTGACAACAATCATTCATTTGCCAATATACTGCACACATTTTGCATGTCTATAACAAGGTAAAATAGAACTCAGACGTTTTACAGTGAAATTTTTATTTTGTTATAATACCCAGTCTATCTGTGCTGCTAATTTTAAGTTGCATCACTTTACATTAACCTTATGAGATAACCATTACACTAGCGAAGGTGTAAACCTACCTCATGTGGAATAAAGTAAATTATTAATTGTGATCTGTTGCTATATATAAGGAAAATAGCAACTAACATCATGCCAAGGAATAGATACATCCTATAACTCTTCACCTGTGTGCATATTTCTGTTGTGATCTTGAGAGAAATTCTCAATCATTCTTCTTTTTTTTTATTGATGTACTCCCTAAGCAGAATTTCAACATTTCCCCTTTGGCTCATCTTATTGGCTTTGCCTTGGAAACGGCCCTTTTTCCCAGCTCCTTTGCCATCAAGAAGTTCAGAAACCCTGTAAAATGTAAGCAAAGAAAAAATACATGTAATATATATATTTGTGGTCGGAAACATAATAGCAATATGTGTAATAGTGCAAAGTTGGTTGGGGTGTGCTGTAACCAACATACGGGTAGGCCTGGAATAAAAAGAGGGCCCACCAAGGGTAATGGTTGTAATAAATAATGTGTAAGGGGTGCAGTGGGTGGGACAACCTGAACAGGAACAGCCCAGGTAAGAGGGTGATTGGGGTTTTTATAGGTAAGATAGATTCACAAAAACAGGGCTTTGGCCTTACAAAACAGAATGGTCGAAAACAGAATAGTAATATGCGTAATTCGTGATAGTGCAAAGTTGCTTGGGGTACAAAAAGAGGGCAAAAAGGTAACAAAGGAAAACACACTATTTTTCAGAACGTTTACATGGCCAAACTTTTTTAATCTCTCCAATCTCTTGATAATATGCACTGGGGTGTCAGTGCTGGAAGCTGCTAACAACTGGTTGTGGTTTTCCAGTGTGCCGGAAGGGAGTGTAACAAGACAAGACCTGTGTGAAAGCCCTCGGCAAATCCAGAAACCAAGAATTTCACCAGGTGAGGGATGTGAACCTAAGTGATAAGTGAGATTATCTAGATTTACCTCAGTCAGTCATTTCTTGGTAAAGAGTTTGGAAGGGCACATAGATCTAGCGTGTGCCCTAAAACATTGTGAGCAGACGTGCAACAACTTCCAGGCACTAATTTCAGGTACCTGCGTTAGGGTTATTGCACACCTGCGCCTTTCCCAAGAATACGATGGGTCTCCCCAACCTATCCTTCTGACCCTATTCCTGACCAACGGAGGAACAGTGTGGTACGTGCCTGGGCTGTGGAAGTGGACAGATCGGCTTCTCAGGGGCACAAATTGGTGGAATGGGTGGAAGATGTACAAACCGCACAAGCTTGGGGCCTTCAAACCGGCAAGAAGGACAGTGTCCATCTGACTCCAGTCAGTCCAAATATGGGACAGAGCTGCTGCAGTCTTGGTAGACACTGACTTGTAAAAGTCGATAGTCGTAGAACTAGTAGAAAAGGCGAGTACGAACTCAGGGATTTATAGGTTTTTTATTTAGTCTAGGGTCCCTGGCCTTAAGGACCACAGGCAAATCCCTGCAGTTGTAAGTCCTGTTCTCTAATAGGTCCTGCGAAGCAATCAACAGTGACACCAAGTTAACATCCTTGCCATCGATTATGTCTTTCCTGATGGAGGGGGGAACCAAATGTGCAGGTGTATTCATTTGGGGAGTGGAGGGAAGGGTAGAAAAAAGTGCTCAAGCTACCCTGCGTGACTGTGACAGCTGGGGCGGTATCCAAAGCTGGAATGTCCGCAGAGACAGAGGGATTATGATGAGCAGTTTCCAGCACTGTCAAGCGTTCATTAATAGCTTGGAGGGAAGCTATTAATAAAGATATCCTGCCCTGCACTTCTCCCATGCTGTCAAAATTGCCACCTTGTGAACTTGTGCCGAGGAGTTAAGGAGTTCCGCCTTCCTTGCAGTGGCGCAACTCTGCGGCTAATTTGGGAATAGTCCACGAACTCAGGGAACTGGGAGTGGCAGAGATGAGTGATTCAGCAGGGGAGCTGGGTCAGGCAGAGGTGCTGGACATGGCTGGAGTGCCTGGAAGGGACAGGCTGTCTTTGTGTCCAGATGCCTGAGACATGCTAGAAAAGTAACCAGAGGCATAACCAATAACCCGTACAAAAGAAATTCTAAGTATCCTGAACTGGCTGGCTAACTAATGCCGGTAGGCGAAGAAATGAATGTACCCCGTGACAGTTGAGGCCCAACTTGTTGCCAAGCGGCAGAGAGAGTCTCTAACTAGGATTTGGCTCAAGGGAATGTAGCCACCAAATGATGTGGCGGGATGTTGGCCTCTTGGTGACATTTAAAAGAACCATAAAATGTAGGGCCGTGTGGTCAAAAACCCTCCATGGTGAGGCAGGGAGTTGGCCTCGCTGGTGAATGATATAAAATACTAAACGAATGCCAGTACCTGAAACCTATAAGCCAGTTCTCTGTCCCTGGGCAGGGGCTTAATTCTTGAAAAGAAATAGCATAAATGAAAAAAGGCACGTACCTTGGCAGACAACAAACTTAATTTGAGACACAGAAATGAGTATACACCTACAGAGGTAAATGCACCAGTTACTGAGGGAAGTTAGTAGTGGAAATGGAATGTGACAATACGGGAAGATAATCCACATACCCTAAAGGTGATCAGAAGAGTGCTTGCCCTGAGAAGCAGGAAAGTTCCTATAGTTTGTGACCTCTCAGTGAAATGTAATATGTATAACTACGAGTATAATAAAAGCTAAATTAAAGTACAAAATTAAGGGAACTTGTAAGAAAACCCAGCATTTCCAAGACTTTTTTCGAACAGTATTTTGTATGTTTTTACCAGATTTTGTTTGTTCGGTAGTTTCAAAACTACCGAACCACGACCACCCCTGACTATTTTCGTCAAAACTAATTGGCAATTGATGGTTCCTTCCAGGTGGCCATCTTGTTCGCACAAAAGGAGGCAACGGTGGTTGGTCGTTGAGTGTCTGGAACTAAAATCGGACACTCGACGTACCAACCCCCGATCAACTTGTCGAATGCCTGCTTCCTTTTGTCGAACAACCAGGAGGGCACTGTTCGTTAAGTCTGTTCCCACGAACTAAGGGAACAAACGCTGCCTAAGAGCCAGGGGGTCCGTTCATGTTTTATTTGGTTTTTATGTTTTGGCGAACCAGACCGACCGCACAGCCTCATTTCTACTTACATTTGCTAGAGCAATGATCTGCTCTAGTGTATGGAGCTTTAGGTGGAACAATCCCCACCTAGGGATATATGTAGATCCGGAACAGCAGAGTGATGGTGAGAGTATAAGGAGCTCAAGAGTGACTGGGTATTAAAACAGAATCTTTATTAATGAACAGAATGAATAAAACTATTTAAAAGTGAACTATATAGTAAAAAGAACTATAAATAAAACGAGTCCTTGTAGGCAATCCTTAATCTCCACTTGACATGTTTCGCTTACAGCTTTCTCATTTTGAGAAAGCTGTAAGCGAAACATGTCAAGTGGAGATTAAGGTCATTGCTCTAGCAAATGTAAGTAGGTCTAATATTATTTACTTATCCTACTTTTACATACGTACTGTACCATTGGTATGCATCCTTATTTTTTTCATATGATGAATAGCACTACCTTGGGAATCTGATACCAGCAAAAAGAAATCCTTAGACAGGGATTGTTCCATCCAGGCTCCGAAAATAGAGCTTTTTAAGCTCTGGAAAACGTGATTGCCCCTTTGGAATATATCTTTATTACCATATTATTCATAACATACTGCACTATCATTGTACTTTTATTTCCTTTTTTTAAGAGTAAGAAACATAATTGCGAAATCTGCTGCTACCTTTGTATGTATGATTTTATTATAATAATTCTTAGCGCTGTCCAACTAATTTACTAGCTTGTTTTGTTCTATTGTTCACAAGGTAAAAGGAACTCCTTGTTGGTGAATAGCTGCTTTATTGGATATAGAGCACTAATCACTTTTTTCACTATCTGAAACCAAACTTATAAAGCACGAATTGACTCAAACATCAAAGTACCGAATCAGTATACTTAGAATAAAAACATGAAACAAACTAATGTGCCCCTTGAACAGAGAAAAACTCAAATTCAAGGGGGGATCAGTACTGAAACAAAGTGCTGAATGCCTATACTCCACAATAGCCTAGATAAATGGAAGTTATTCCCAAACTGAGCAATGCTCGAACGCCCACGAGTAACTAACGAAAGCAGAGTATTTAATAGCTAAACAAACAAACCTGCAAACAAGCTAAAGTTCCCCTTGACCAGAAACTTGAACGCCAAGGGGAACCTTACAAAATGCAAAGAACCGAACAAGGCAGATAAACCCACACTAAGTTCAAACATGGGAAATGCCATAGCAGAGTGAAGTGCTCAAATGAATAAACCGGTGAATAAACCGAATGCAAAGTGACGAACAAATTAAGCAAGTATTGTAATAATTGAAATAACCACCCAATACGTTTGACTGTATGAACGTTGGGGTAACGAACATATTTTAACGAAAGCCTAAGTCCAACAAGGCACGAATGTGCAATAGTGGCGAGGAACAACGTTTGTAAAACATAAGGCTGGGAGAAGCACCAGCAGCTGGCAATCAAGAGAACGCCTTGCGTTACCTGCAGAAACCTACAAGATGGGTTTCAGGAAGGAACCTGCAGCGAGGCTCCGGAGTGGATGGAGGCAGCTGGCAGTATGGAGAGCGGTCGAGTCACGTGGAGGAAGGCAGCAGTGGAACGAGGCGAGTGTAGGAAATTTTGGTGTGAAGAGCTGAACCGAAAGCCCAGGAGGTAACCTAGGTAACGTACGACCTGAACGGGAATGGCTGAGGTAAGAGGGTGATTGGGGGCGAT